CTGAATTTCTGCAGTAAATACACCTTAAGCCAGCAGATAGTTGAGCCAACAAGACTGGAGAACATACTTGAAATTATTTTCACAAATAATGAGGACCTGGTAAGAACCATAACAATATCAAAAACAATTAATTCTAATCACAATCTAATCGAAGTCCAGACTTGCATGCACAGGCGTCCTGACCAGCAAAATGCAAGTAGCTGTGAAGGCGTCTTCACGAAGTACAATTTCAACAGCAAGAACATTAACTGGGATCAGGTGAACCATGTCTTAAATGAAACATGTTGGGAAGATATCTTAAATAATATGGACCCTAACCAGCTGAAATATGTTCAAGGCATATTCCCCTAAGAAAAAAGTAGAGAAAAAGTAAACTGGAGAGAAAGACACTCCCTCTACAGGAGATGGCGAAGAATCACTGAGCTCCTCAAGAATGCTAGATTACCTGAAACACGGAAGGAAGCACTAACCAGGGAAGTGGAAAATAATGAGCTTAAGTTAAAGAACTCATACAGGATCCAGGAAAGACAAGAGGAGCTAAAAGCGATTAGTGAAATTGAAAGAAATTCGAAATATTTCTTTTCATATGCCAAAAACCACATCTAGTATAGGGCCCCTGTTCAGACAAGATGCAACTTACACAGATGGCAACAAAAAAATGAGTGAGATACTGAAATCTCAATACGACCCATGCCTCCTAGAGACCCATGCCTCCTAGAGACCCATGCTTCCTAGAGACCCATGCCTCCTAGAGACCCATGCTTTCTAGAGACCCGTGCCTCTTAGAGACCCATGCCACCCAAACAGTGTCAATTACCGGTGAGGTTTTAAAGGCTTCAGTACCTAAGAACACGGAAACCCTGTTCTTCCCTAGATTTGACTTAAATAAAGGGATTTTTTTCTATATACGGATTTTTTTTTCTGTGGGATTAAAAAATGGGTCATTTTAATTTGCCAAGCACGCTCTCTCTCTCTCTCTCTCTCTTTCATTATAGTGGTGGTGCTGACCACAACACCAGAGAGGGAGGAAATATTATCATTATCAGGGACATACAAGAGGATTACGTGAGCGCTTTAGATGGGATTGGAGACAAGTGGTTTTTATAACTTGACGTGCTGTTGGAGTGTGAGCAAGGTAACATTTAAGAAGGGACTCAGGAAAAACGGGTTAGCCGGACCTGAGTCCCTCTGAAGGAGGGTTGGGAAATGTTGCAGTTCTGAGGACCATCTCAACTGCGGAGTCAGCAATCTTCTGGCAAAACAGTGATTGAACGAGTAATGGTGAAAGTGTTTGCTGTATTTCGGGTTACCCTACTTCTGTGGGAGACGGCCAGTGTATTAAAAATATCAGAGAGAAGTATTAACCCCATAAGGGTTATATAGCAGCTTTTATCCGAGGAAAAAGAAACCGTAGCCACTTCGCTGGATCTAGAGCCCCTCATAGGCATCACCGCACGTCCCTTGAAGGGGGACGAGGATGAAAACTTTCTATGGGTCGTCTTATGGACCGATAACTGGTGGAAGTACAACTTGAAGTGACGGCAGGTTTGTTCTCTTCTCTTACTAGCCGTGGTCTGTCTAAATAGGCGGCTCTGCTAAGCTTTGCCAACTAACTTGGTGATGTGCATCTGGCAGTACAGGTGGGCACTTCCTGGGAAAGTTGGTACTGGTGATTTTGGCTTCGAGGGAGAATGGGGCAGTGACTAGGCTTTCCCTGTCTCTTCCCTCTTAACTATTAATGTCTGTCAAGGTGTATATTCCCTCTCTTGGTTCCTCTATAATGACTTCTGACCATCCCTGTGTGGGGTTGGCCAGGTAGCGGTCCCCACCATCATTAACCTCACCGTTCCAATTTTGTGACATCTGCAGATACTGCTACCGTACAGACAAGCATTAAACTTTTTGACAACTTCGCAGCGGAAGGCAAAACGCAGGTATGTCGGCGATTTTGCACATGCCTCTGAGTATATAGGGAAGGTTTAATGTGTGAGGGACACACATAAGTCTGTGACAATGTATCTCAGTGGCTGGCTATAAGCTCATCACTCTCAAATAGAAGCTCAAGAGAGATTGTAGGTTCATCCTAAATTTAAAATGGTTATAACGACGAGACACACAACCTGGGGTACGTGCCGTGTATGCCGTGTTAATTCACAGAGCAGGTGGTAATTGGTATACAACTCTCCAGAAAGGTGCTACCATCCTCTCTCACGAATGTGAAACAGAAGCCTGTTTAACGTTTTACACTCTGGTAGTACTCCTGGTGTTTAACGTTTTACACTCTGGTAGTACTCCTGGTGTTTAACGTTTTACACTCTGGTAGTACTCCTAATGTTTAACGTTTTACACTCTGGTAGTACTCCTGGTATTTAACGTTTTACATTCTGGCGTTTTCTTTATACCATGCACATATAAAATGGCAAATAAATCTTAGAAACCTCTACTCACTTTCCATGAACATTTATTTTAATTTTTGTCTGGTTTCTTGAGTTTTTATTCGTGTAATATTTCTTTTTCATTTTAGAAAATCATGAACAGAAATAAGAGGGTCAGTTGAGAACATTCTTCCTGCCCACTACCTTAATTACTCCAAAGGGAAGGTCTGTTACTGACCTCTAGAACAGGAGAGTGACGAGGATAAACACCTCAACAGTGACATACGCTGAGCACGGCGAATAAAAAGAAGGTTTAAGAATGACTCCCTGGCGACTGAGAAGCAGGCCAGACACACAGTAGTGAATACTAAAGTGATTCTTTTTGGAAATGTGATTAAATTCTGGTTGATATTTATTATGTCTTGAGAGAGTTAACACTGATGAGTGTTGAGATGCTAGAAGCTTTAGGGTATGTTGGTGTTCACATGCATAGAAATGATATTATATTCTAGACTTGAGACTTTCAAATATCATTCGGTAAAAAATTAAATAAACTGTTAACAGATGAAAGTTTCTATGTGAAGCACAGAATCTTTGAAAATTTGTGAAATTTTATGCAACGTAAATTGCAAAAATATTGCAAGCTATATTAATATTTATCCGATGTTTTACAGGCGCTCTATAATCCCTAGGGCTTCAGGGCTTCCTCATTATTATTATAACAATCAGACGTTACATAATTACTATAGATTTATTTGTCTAAATCTCTTAATATTAACATTATCTTTATTCTCTTTACAAGTTTGTATATACTATACTCCCATGCTAAACTCCCGAGGACTGACGTAGATCAACTAAGTCATGAGCAGAAAACCAGGTCATGAGATAACGATTCTAGCATCATTTCTTGCACATTACCAGCATAAAATCATCAGAAATATTGTGATCCAAGCTATGTTTCCTTCCTTCTCGCCCTGAGAGTTAAACAGCAGAGTAAAAGACGCCTTGTCACTCTTGTTCTCATTAATGTTACTGTCGTTCTAACTGGAAATACTCTTACTATTGTTAATGTTTTATATTATATAATTTTTGTACCGTCATCATGGCAAATTGTCATATTAGCTATCATAATTATCACTGTTCGTCTCTGTCTTCCACTAGAACTTTCCCTCGACCAACTGTTTTAACTTGCAAAACAAATTCGCTATAAACATATTTGTTTAACATACTGAAAAATGCCTTCACATTTTATTAGTCAGATTTTTTTCCCTCCAAATTACCGATTCCTGATATTTCCTATTTTACAAACTCCCATATTTTTTTTCATTGCTTTAATACTGATTCTCACACATATTCAAGAGTTCCTTTTTACAGAATGTTTTATGCACTCATGAAGTTCATAAACTTGAAATCGAATGCTTAAATTTTTGTAAATGCTATATTTGCTAGGTAAAGAAAGATAAGATTCGTCAGGAAACAGGACAAGTGCTTCCTGAGACGGGTCTTAGTCGTGTGTTGAGCCGCTACTGGAGCTTCTGGTCACCTGACCGAGGCTTAGAAGAACTTCAAGACACAAAAACGGTGTCCATGAACCATCAACTTTTCCCAGACATCGTGATGGCTATTCTTTTTTTTTTTATTTTCACAATACGTTTAGCTTCCAAAATTATATGCTCCTTACGACTATACCATAAAAAGTCCCACAATCTCCAGTATTATTTCCTGCAAGAATGTGGCTACTGTTCTGACCGATTATTCTAACACAACTTTTTTTTCCGGTTGGTAGAGTTGCTATGCGTCGTCCTTTATAAGTAACTAAGGTCAACAAATGGGAACAACCTGGGGGTGAAACTTTGGGATTTTGTATGCTCGCCCGACCGTCGTGTTAAGCAGTATATATTTAATTTATATATTTAGTTTCTGATTATCAGGTGTGCCAGGCATTATAAGCTACCTTGATCACAGACAGCTGCCCAGGCAACTTTTAATATATAATATAAAATCATGGAAGGTGTACTTAATTAATCTGGAAGAACATGTATTTTTTTCCTCCTGTTGTCGGCGGATTTATTCAGATTTAAGGATTATATAAATTGTTTTCTAACTAAGTGATTAATATAAACATGGATAATTGCAAGATACGTAGTTTGCTATTATTTCCGAAGAATGAGACACTTGTGCAACATTTGAGAACCTTTACTGTGGAATCTTTTCGCTACATAGTGGCCTCATCAGTCCAATACAAATTAGAATGGTAGAAAAAAAATTAGGAGTTTAAGGCAATCAGTCCCTCAGCCTGGCATCGATGTGAAGATTTATGGACTGAACACATCGATTCTAGGCTAAGGGACTGACTACCTCAAAATCCTCACTCTTTTTCTAACGTCTTCTTTGCATTGGACAGAAGAAGTCACTGGCTGGTGAAACGTTTCCTCAGTAAAGATTCCCAAATGTTGCAAAAGTGTAGGTTTTTATAAACCATTTATCACAGCTATTATTTCCACCTCGTACAACAGAACACTACATCATTTACAAGCCATTAATTTATCAGACACTGCCCAAGTAATCATTTCATTACTCACAAAATTTAGCTTACAAATAAATTTGAATTTCCTTTATCCTTACCTTAATATCCAGGTGCACGAGGTTAAGATCGTGAACAAAGACGAGTCCCTCAAGGAGCTGTCGCGTGAAGCTGATGACATCACGTTCATATGGTACCATATCTTCGTCCAGGAGTGTCTGAAGGTCTCCTCCAGCAGCACTGTGGGACACCACAACATTGTTAGTACATGATCAACTGTGTGTGTGTGTGTGTGTGTGTGTGTGAGAAAGAGAGAGAGGGAGGAGAGAGAGAGAGAGAGAGAGAGAGAGAGAGAAAGAGAGAGAGAGAGAGAGAGAGAGAGAGAGAGAGAGAGAGAGAGAGAGAGAGAGAGAGAGAGAGAGAGAGAGAGAGAGAATTACCTAGCCATAGCTACAGCAACAGAGGTATGCTCGTAGCGTCCTGTTTTAAATATTTTGTTCATTTTTTTAAATATCCAAAGACTGCAACACTTGTTGCTTCATCTTTTAAATCATTCCACTCGTTAACGACTCTACGCAAAGAAAACAAAACAAAACATTATAGTACCTCTTCGGACCATGTGGCCTGATTTTGTGCAAGTCGAAGATGCATCACAAGACTGCTTCCTTAGCTCTATCCTCTTCCAAATATTATGTAACTGACTTACATAAGCTCTTCCCACGAGTATAAGGCCATCTTATATATATATATCCCACCAAGGCAGGGTGGCCCGAAAAAGAAAAACTTTCACCATCATTCATTCCATCACTGTCTTGCCAGAAGGGTGCTTTACACTACAGTTTTTAAACTGCAACATTAACACCCCTCCTTCAGAGTGCAGGCACTGTACTTCCCATCTCCAGGACTCAAGTCCGGCCTGCCGGTTTCCCTGAATCCCTTCATAAATGTTACTTTGCTCACACTCCAACAGCACGTCAAGTATTAAAAACCATTTGTATCCATTCACTCCTATAAAACACGCTCACGCATGCCCGCTGGAAGTCCAAGCCCCTCGCACATTACATATATATTTATATATGTCGTGCCGAATATGTAAAACTGGTCAATTAGCAAGAACTCATTTAAAATTAAGTCCTTTCTGAAAATTTCTCTTATACGTTTAAAGATATATTTTTTCATTAATGTTAATGTAAAAATTTATAATTTTGCACCAAAAGAATCTTAGAAAACTTACCTAACCTTATTATAACAAGAACAATTTATTTTAGCCTAACCCAACTAAATACATTTTAGATTTGTTTACAATAATTTAATACTAAACAAACACAGTGAAATATATTTTTTTCGTTAAGTTCAGAATGATTTTGGCGAAATTATTGCATACACAAATTTTCACTTGTCCTATATGGCAAGATGAGCGTTGCTATTTAAGCCAAGATCGCAAGTTCTGCCTATTCGGCACGACATTTATTAATATATATATATATATATATATATATATATATATATATATATATATATATATATATATATATATATATATATATATATATATAAAATTTTGTGTAGCATAGACAGTCTCATTAGGACCACTTTCCACAGACGCGCTGTTCAGCGCTGCCATCTGACCACCTCACACTGTTTAAAATTTTCTGTTACTAAAATAAACTCGACAGTTTTCACGAAGCGCCTTGTCATTCCACAGAAAATTTTATTTGTATGGCTTCCCTATCCCAGTACATACTACGGTTAAATTTCTTAGCCATCAGTTTGGAGAATTTCATGACAGTCCTGTATATTTCTCCCTAAAAAGCCACCCGCATTAAACGGCTTAACTCTTTTTACTTAGGAGTTGACAGGAAAACCCTTCTGTGCATGTTAGATTACTGGGACTAAGTGTATTCCAAAGTTTCCCGGTTACTCGCAAAAAACTCTGTGTCATTCCTCATCAAGGATTAAGTTTCTGTATGAGAGCCATCCAAGCTTCCTCCAGTCGAGAGCCTGTGTCCATAAGCAAATATCCCTTCTTTTCAGGATCGACGCGATACCTACTGCCTTCAGTATACTGTTCGCTTCCACGACCTTCACGACCCCTCATACGTACAGACTAATCCAAGACGTTAGTAAGATTGATTTATTTAATCAGCAAGCCCATTTATTACGGAACTTTAAATCTCCGCGTTGGAACCCTGGCATGTCCATTAATTTGCTCCCCCTTCCGTTTGTACGTTCACCCCTTATAATGCTCCCTACCCATTTCATTGGGAAGTTTCAACTATTCATGTTTGCTCCTCCCTTTTTCCTTGCCTGAAGACCAATGTGTTCGTTTTGAACCTGCGCTCGTTCTCCCTGAAAAACTTTTAACAACGTTCTCACGCAACGGAAGTATTCACCGACGGTTCCAAATCCTCAGATGAGCCAGGTACGAGGTTGGTTTTCCTGATAGTTATCCAAGGACATTTATTAGAGTCAGCCAGCATTTTCTCAGCAGAAATGTTTGTGCTGCTTGCTGTTATCATATGCAGTGTAGCCATGCCCGCTTCCTCATTCTTTACTGTTGCAAACTCCCAGTATACATTGAAAGCAATCTAGAAATATGATTCCCTACATCCCATCGAACTTCGTATATAACACTGGCTGTCTCACTTCTAGTAAGCACAAAAGAATTTTTTTCCTGGATCTCTAGAAACACGGTCGTTCAGTGCAAAGTACACAAAAATTCGTGCGTTCGGTCCGCTATTTACGATCTGCCAACGGGAAAGGCCCTTCGAAACCACTGGCAATAGCACTGATCAGAATTAGAAGATAAACTGCTTTCCATCAACCCTCAATTAGGTTCCTGATTATTTCCTTCCCATCGCTCTCTGGTGTGGGGAAACTACGTTCGCACGAGCAGGAATCAGAAATATACGACTCACACGTAGATATCAGGTGGAGAGAGAACTCAAATTAGAACAACTAACAGGTAAGAAGGGGTGATGGGAAAATGAGGATAGTTGAGGAATAGGAGGGAGAGATGAAAGGCTATAGAAATCTTTATTGACGAAAGGTTTCGCCATCCAGGCTGAGGGACTGATTACCTCACTCCTCATTTTTCTCCGTTCTTCTCTGTACTGGACTGAAGAAGCTACTGGCTGGCGAAACGTTTCCTCAACAAAGATTTCCAACCAGAGCTATACACGGTGCCTCTCTGCGAGGACTGTGGTACACCACAGTCCTCGAAGACATATACGCATTAATATACTGCTAGCTCTCTCAAAGAACAGGTAAAATTCACTACTGTCATCTTCAGTGTCATGACGCTTAGACTAAATCTTAACTGCCCTCCCGATAATTCCACCACTAACCCAGACTCCATCTACAACTTTTGCTTTTAACAGAAACTAACCAATTTTTATCAACTATGATGTTCACTTTACACCATCACTAACCCGCACCTCCACTCATCCCTTCTTTTACAATCCCGTCCATCGTTGCGCTTGCTTTTTAATATAGCGCTAAAGCATACATAAATACCAGTGAACCACATTTTAGCCTCATTTCACTTCCCATCCAATGGATTAAGCAAATTTCTTCATTGATTTCGACGAGGCAGCCCAAGTCTTCATCTAGAAAATATCTCACTAATATCTCAAAGTTTTCAACCTCTTCCTGCTCATGCAGGAGATATTACCAGTTCCAGCATTACTCTCGACACCTTTCTCATCAAGACGAACTCTCCCGAATCCTACTTAATGCTTAGAGTAGCAAAAAGCGGTCCTGCTTAGAACCCAGATCAAGATAAAGATAACTCTAGACCGTGCACTCAGCGTAAGCGAATTTCTCGTAGCGTCGTCAATCTCAAAAGTCCGTAATTAAAGTTACAAAAAAGTGGTTTGAAGATCATGTGTATGTGTGTTGGTGTGTGTGTGTTTTTGCTTGTTTTATGGTTTGTTTCTCTCCTTTTATGGATAAAACATGTGTATATGTGCTTTCACACACTTTTTTCATATATACATGCATATATATATATATATATATATATATATATATATATATATATATATATATATATAATATATATATATATATATATATATATATATATATATATACATATATATATATATATATATATATATATATATATATATATATATATATATATATATATATATATATATATAAATGTCGGGCCAAATACGTAAAACTTGCGGTTTTGGTTTAAATAGCAACGCATTTCATGCCGAATAGGGCAAGCGAAAATTTGTGTATGCAACAAATTCGCAAAAATCATTCTGAACCTAACGAAGAAAAAAATATTTCATTGTGTTTGATTATTATTAATTTATTATAAACTTAAATAAAATATATTTTGTTGGATTAGGCTAAATTAAATTGCGCTTGTTATAATAAGGTTATGTTAGTTTCCTAAGGTTCTTTTGGTGGATTATTATTATAATCAAAAAGAAGTGCTAAGCCACAAGGGCTATACAGCGCTGCTCTTTTGGTGGAAAATAATTATTTTTTATCATAACGTAAATGAAAAATATATCTTTAAATGTATAAGAGAAAATTTTTAGAAAGGATTTAATTTTAAATGAGTTCTTGCTAACTGACCAGTTTCACCTATTCGGCAAGACATATATGAGGATAAATAAGTATACACGATATTATATAGGGCGTAATGACAGTAGGTTTTTGGACTACGTATTGGTAGATAAAAGACTGTTGGGTAGACTTCAGGATGTACATGTTGATAGAGGGGCCACAGATATTTCAATCACTTTTTAGTTATAGCTACAGTAAGAGTAAAAAGTAGATGGAAGCAGGAAGCAAGAGCGAGGTGAAGGTTTATAAACTAAAGGAGGAGGCAGTTAGGGTAAGATATAAACAACTATTGAAGGACAGATGGGCTAGTGAGAGTATAGGCAATGGGGTAGAAGACGTATAGGGTAAATTTAAGAATGTAGTGTTGGAGTGTTCAGCAGAGGCTTGTGGTTACAGGAAAGTGGGTGCGGGAGGGAAGAGCGACTGGTGGAATAATGATTTATAGAGCGTAGTAAGAGAGAAAAAGTTAGAATATGAGAGGTTTTTACAAAGTAAAAGTGATGCAAGGAGGCAGGGAGGAGTATACGGAGAGAAAAAGAGAGTTTAAGAGAGTGGTGAAGCAATGTAAAATGAGAGCAAATGAAAGAGTGGGTGAGATGTTATCAACAAATTTTGTTGAAAATAAGAAAAAGTTTTGGAGCGAGATT